CCCCTCCCATCTCCCACCCCCACACCATCTCTTATCAGGCCTATCTCTACATGACGCCCCCTTCCAGTACCCTGGACTCTACAGAGCCAAGTTGATGCTATGATTGTGCCAGAGCACAGGGTCAGGAGAAAGTGGATGGAAAAGCCCTGGGCTGCCCTGACCCCCAGCATGGCTTGACTTCATCTATTATTTTTTCCCACTCTCCCAAAGCATCCTTTGGTGGGCTTGTGGACAATTCATTAAAATCATTCAATTCTTTGAGTTTCTCCCTAAGGTTCCTTCTGCTTAATGTACAACACGTTGCCCAGAACCCACAAGCGCACTTCCTGGCATTTTTCTTGAGAATTCCAGCTATCACAGCAATTGCTCACATCCACAGCCTCAGCTAAAAGGCTGGAATTTGAGGAACTTAGAATCTTTGATCCCTTAGGTTAGAGATCAGCTTGGGGAAAGGGTGGGAGGAGAGAGAACAGGGATGTTGGGGCTCCCCTCCCTCCCCGAAGGAAGACAGACCACCGAGCTCTCCATTTTACCAGGCAACTTGGCAAACAGGTTGGTGATTTCAATTTTAAAAGCTTTAGCATAAAACAAAGCCACCAAACTAAAGTCCTTCGGCTTTCTTTTTTAAGCCTCCAACATCAGGTCATAAGCAAATCCTTTTGGCTAACACTGCAAAGATTCATGATTAAAGTGAAAGACCTTTTCGCTGGGACAACATACGAGTGGAAGTGGCCCCAGCACACCTAGCAAGGATTCTAAAATCTTGACTCGAGTGTGAATTTCCAAGATAACTCTCTTCAATTCACAGCAGTTTGAAAAGACCATAGGAATCACAGGACGACTCCAGTTCCAACTGTGGACCCTGGGCCCATTTTTCCCTCTGCCCCAGTTCTAGGGATCTATGGACTATCCATCTACCCTTCAAAAGATGAAAGAAATGGATAAGGACAGGGACTGAACCTCTAATTTCACTGGAACTCCCAGGTGAGACCAACCCCTCTACTAATGCAGATCAACACTTTGTCTGCAATTCAGGGTGCAGAGGTGTCAACCCCAAGACCAATGTGGCCCACGGTGCTGCAAGAACCAGATTAAAATGTAATTGGGAAATGTTGCGGCAAGATAAATAAAAAATACAATAAAACACAGATAATGTTAATGTGTGATTTTCTAAATCAATCTGCAGCCCTGGGGATCTGTTTCTATTTGAGTTTGATGCCACTGGTCCCAGGGCACCACTTGGAAGTTAAGTGACTTGCTCAGGGTCACACATCTGGAGTCTGGTCAAAGGCAGGCTTGAACCTAAGTCTTTCTGGCTTGAAGGCCAGCTCTCAGTATAAGACCAAGCCAGACCTCACTCTCTCTGAAAGAAATGACCAAGTCAGTATTTGGTCAAAATCTATTCTCCTGCCCACCCCCTAGACTCAGTCATAGGACTTCTGACAGACCTAATTGGTTCTACTATTTTTCCATCCATGTCTCATTTTCAACTTTTCCTGTTGATGTGCTCTTAACATCACCATCTGATGATCTCATCCAATTATGTATGGAAAAGGTGAAGCGGGGCTTTCATTAGTCTAGTCTCTCTGACAAAAGAGGGCAACATAATACCAGTAAACTAGCTATGGGAGACCAAAAAGATTGCAACGAAATGAGCTGCAGTATTTCCATGATTAGAAATGAGGTTTAAGACATTTTTCAGGACATTTCGATATCTGCTAATACAAAAACTGCCAATGGAATATTTAACATTAAAGCCAGCCTAGATCACATGTAAAAAGAAAAAAAAAACAAAATGCTTTTAAATTTGGCCTAACTTGATAGGAGTAGCTTGCAAATTAGATATTCAAATTCCGTTTCTAAAATGTGATTTCCTCTGGCTTTAGGACTACTGTAAAACTTTGCAAAAAGGTTAGGTTACTGATTTTAAACAACCACACGCAATTTATTTTAAGGACAAAGTGAGAATTTCCTGACTTCATGAAAAAAGGAAAATGGGTATGGGAAACTTCCTGCCAATTTTGTGTCACAACTGCCTCCTCACTTCAACTCCAGAAAGGAGCTGCTCATGATGAGGGATGGAGTTTGTTATCATTACCAGGAAATAGCTGGAGAGACACTCCATTTCAAGCGTTGTGGCTCTCTGCAGCACCAAGGGACAGAATCTACCCACCCCTCGAAGTCAGGCCACGAAATATTCAGGGCTGGTCAAAGTTATCTCGTTTTTCACTACTGAATAATCTCTCCCTGAAATTATCAGCAACACCCCACAAAGCACTTTCATTTTCTATGGCAGAAAAAATTTTGCAGTCATGCAATTGAAATAATTCTCTGGCCTCCCTGTTGAGTAGAATCTACACTTTATAACTGAAAAAAAAAAAAGATTTCATTTTTCTCATCTCACAATGGTACCATCAGGGTACCACCCTTTTTTTTTTTTTCCCTAAGACACAGTAAGGATATGAATTACAAAGTTGATTCCATTAACCCCAGTAAAGCCATGGAAAAATGAAATCAATATCAAGGTAAACTTTCAAACTCTTCCTTAACCTTTACATATTTATCCATTTAAAAATAGTAGCCCATAAAAAAAAATAAAAAAACAAAAATAGTAGCCCATATGATAATGTCTAGGAACAGGAAAATAAATTACAGACAGGTAAACAGAGGGGAAGAAATTATCTGAAGACTCTGGGTCCCATTTCTATTAAATAAGATCAACATTCATTAACTCCTAACTGTCTTCTTTTCCACTGTGTCCCATAATTACAATCTGACACTGAACCTTCTGTGAAAGTCTTATCTTTATAGATTTTTAGCATACTCCCAAAATAAGCTACCTAGAGCAAATGGAAGTCATTCCTGTTCACGAGTACAAGAATCCTAATGAAAGAAAACTACTAGCATTCTTGAGAAGGCTTTACTAACTCTGATATCCAAGGGTTAAAAGTGTTTTCAGGCAGAGCACGACAGGGAGTCAAGCTCAGCTTGCTGAGTAAAAAGTGGCCATCATCCCCGCCCCAGGGCCAGGCTCTGCCTCACTCACTAACCTGCTAGTGCCTTCCCCACAGAAACGTTGCTATTAATACCACCTTATACATTTTAAGCAGTCCCTCGATGGACAAACATTTACTCGTGCCTACTGTGTGCGATACCGCAACTCAAGGCCCGAAAGACATAAAGACGTAAAGCAAACAGGCCCAAGGAGCTTATGCTATAATGGGGGGGAGACAGCAAATATACAGATAAGTAAACAAAGTATCTGCCATGTAAATACATGATAATTAAGCACTTCCATTTGATTTGGTTCCCACAGGGATCCTGGGAAGTAGGCAGTAGCCAAGGATTATCCCACTTTACTAAGATCAAATTGAGGCCCTTCCAGATGAAATGGCTTCCAAAAGTAATGGGCAGAAACAGCTTTTTCTAATTTCATATCGTGCCTGTGCTGTAGGATTCTGGCTTCCTCCAGCTCTTGAGAGAGAGGGCTGACTTCACTGGGAAACAGGCACCTAGCTAGACTTACGATTAGCCCTCATGAACTAATTCATATCCTAGCAACAACTCAGACACTAGAAATGTGGAGTTCTAGACCAGTGGTCTTCAAAGTGGAGACCCTGGCCTGACCGACCCCAAGGGGCATGTGATCAACCAGGCACAGGCTAGGAAGATGGGCTGCATCTCACCCTTCCAGCAACGGCCAATAGAGGGACTTGTCTCCAACACAACCACACTTACCCACGTCCCCCCAAAAAGTAAATCAACTCAGCTACTGCCCTCCACCACGAGGACTCCTAACTTCTCCCTTCTGAGCCAGCTATTGGCCCCTCAGGGCAATTATAACTTAATGACTACTCGGACACCCTTAGCAACAGGTGCCACTGGGCAAATTCTCTGCCCCTCTCCTACTCTTCTCCCTCCCTTCCAGATATAAGCCCTCTGCCCCACGGATCACCTTCAGGGGAGCAGATGCCCCTTGGAAGGCAGGCTCTGTGCTTTGGGCAGTGGCCAGTGAACCAAAGCCTGTGTAATCTTAACTCCTCACTCTTCCTCACCCCAAACAGCCGATCATTGATCAAACCTTATTGTTTGTATTCGACATCTCTTGTGCCTATCCCCTTCTCTCAGCTCACAGCTCCCTCATTCAAGTCTTTATGGTCTCTAACCTGGGCTATCAGAGTAGCCTCTTAATTGGCCTTCCAGCCTCCAGTCTGTCCATCTCCAACCCATCTTTTCCTAAAGAAGAGACCTAACTAATTCACTCTCCTTCTCAATAAACTCCAGTGGCATCCTATTGACTCTCAGATCAAATATTATTGCCTTTTTATATACACTTTTCATTATTTAATATACATAATTATTAGTGCAGTAGGGCATATGGATAATTTATAACTAAGTAAACACGCACATTAGGGGTACATGCTCA